AAAAAAAAATTAAAATCGGTTCACAACTTCGAATTTTAGGGGGGTGTTTCCATTAAAAATGGGTCACACTGTATATATAGATTTTTGTTGTCAAACAATAAAATATAGTTTGAATTGAATTCCTATCTTTGTTATAAATATGGATTTTGTATAACTACTAGTTTTCTTCAAACATTTAACATAACTTACGTTTCTCCGATAGTAATTCAGTCTGGACCAATTCATTGAATCGCTTAACACTCTCATTATCTTCAGGAGAATGAAAAAGTATAAGGAAGGGCAAACCTTCCTCGGTAAGTTCTTCAGCATTCTCAAATGTAATTTCTCTCACTAGTGGCATACACTTTTCTGAAACCCAGACATGCAACTCATCAAAATTTTTAAGAGAACCTGGATAGGTCTCGTCTAGATCATTGGAACGGTCCTTGTCTGGTCTGAAGACAATTATAGGTTCACCTGGAGGGTGCATTTGACGAGAAGCTTCTTCAAAGCCGACATGGAACTGGCAGTCATCCTTAAGATTTGTTGCGACACGGCGGAAAATGTTATATTCCGGTTGATCCCGTCGATCAAAGTAACCTGTAAAATTTGAAAGATTCTAGTAAATCATAAATATTTATTTTAAAAATTATCAAAAAATTAGAGATCACTATGAAAATTGCAAGGTATTTGAAAAATATGCATATAAGTCATTAATTGACATGTGGTGTGAAAAATATTGATGATAAATAATATAATGAACTACACATTTACAGAACTCATCATTACCCCAAAGTTTGTTATGTCTTACTAATATAGTTGAGTCACAATAACAGCTTTTTGTTAAAATTTATCAATAAAACAAGGTTAGAATCGAAAGATGACGATATTTATATGATGAAATTATTCCTTATCCAACTAAATAGTTTCATAATCCAGGTTATTGATGTACATGTCAATTCCTCTTTGAGTTATTCAAATTGGATCTTTCATTGATAATTTATGGGAAGTATTGAAATCCGTGGACTTGAACTATGTTTCAGTAAAAGAACTACAATTCTTAATTAACCCACACTAAGCCAGGGCGATTGGGTAGCATTTTATACACAAGATGTCCAAGATAAGGAAGGTCAGCAGAGAAAAATCGGAAACCGTGAAATATACAGAGTCGGTTGAATTAGGAAAAAGTTGCCAATAGAATAGAATAGAAATTTATTCATCATTGAAAATTTTATACATGTGGTACATACAGATATAAAACTTTATCAGACTAGTCAGAACAGAACATAAAGCAACTGTGCTTATCTACAATTACAGTGTCTATATACATGTTAGCAGTTAAGTAGACATATTAAAAGATGCAAAATTATATTTAACTAGCTGCTTCCGATATGTGAGGTAATTTGTGAACCATTTTAATACTTTATAATCTAGTCCATACTTATTTAATTTCATTAAAAGTAACTCAATGTTGACAATCTCGAATGCCCTTTTGAAACCCAGAAAGACAACACTTATAATACGTTTTTTAGATAGCTCAACTTTCCACGAAGAGATTAGAAATTGCAGTGCAGTTTCACATGAATGGGATCCCTAAATCCAGATTGTTCTTTAATCAAAATATTATATTTTGCTATAAATTTCATGAATTTCTCTTGCACTGTAATTTCTAATATTTTCTCATGAATTGGCAGGGTATTTATGGGTCTAAATTAAGATCCTAAAAAGGTGTTTTTAATTTTTCAATAGGAACGATGGTGGCAAATTTCCAACCGTCAGGAAACGATAAATTTATCAAGTCCAAAAACCTATTTCCCAGTATTTCAAATGTTAACTTGATTATATTCAGATTAATTCCATTGTCATCTGTATTATTTTTCTTGAGGGAAAAAATTATCTTTTTTAACTCGCACATATTCAATGTTTCAAATTCCCCAAGTTATGTGGAAACCCAAGCCTTTTGTATATAGAAAATCTGGTGAAAAAGTGTCAAATGCCATTGAGAGAAAAAAAACTAATTACAAAATTATTAGCATCAACTTCGGAGTATATGTTATTAAGATAATCATAGGTAAGGGTTTCTTTGGAACGATCTTTCCTAATCCATGTTGAATATTACATAGTATATTATATGACTCTAAGTAATTCACTATTCTAGTAGCCACCACTTTTTCATACAATTTCGAAAGAGAACAAAGCAATAGAATTTGTATTTCCTTTTTTAAAAAGAGAAATGACTAAAGCTTTCTTGAACTCTTATGGAAAGTAACCTAGCATGACTGATTCATTAGATAAATTAGGGAAATTACAATAAGGTCAAATATTTGTTTAACAACTGGTATTGACAGGTCATCTGATCCACTCGAATTTTTATTCTTCATTAATCTCAATGTAGCTTGAATTTCAGCTTCAGTAATCGGTCTGTTCTTAAATTAGTGTACAGTGTTAATATTTGTATTGGTTGTACAAGGCAATGTTAGATAACAGTTTTAGCAGAATTTGCAAAATGATTGGCAACTAGGTCTGCTACAGCAGGAGGGTGTCCAACCACAACTGAGTCATGATGGAAAGTGATAACATTATCAGCATAACACTTTCTTTTTCTTTCCAACTCGTTGTTTACTGTCTCCCATGTTTCTTCAATTTTGTTACTGGCATTGCCAATTTTAGTGGAAGAGTAAACAATGTTTTTTTTTCAATGTAATCACTGCCTTATATTTGATCCCTTTTTTTACAATGATACATACACCATCCCGAATATGATTTTGCCTACAATAAATTGTCATTTCAAAATTATTAAAACATGAATCTTTATAATAGTTTTCAGTTATCTAGTGCTATGACAAACAAACGATTTCAATATTATTATTAAGAACAAATAATTCAACAAAATAGTGGAGCACTATTTTCGCTGCTTAAATTTCCTTTGGAGCCTCTCGACTCAGACGAGGGTATAAAAATGTTTTGATGCGTCTATTATAGATTCTTCATTTTGAATTTCGGAACTTGGATAAGTTTAACATTCATTTGACCCTATTTCATTTTCAATTAGCAAGTTCCCATTCATGTGTGTATGTTCCATATTTTCACTACATATATTTTCTCCATCAGTTTTAGTTATCTGTTTACCATGATGTCCGGACTTAATGTAATTTGCTAACGCTTTGCCTACAAAATACAGGGTGTTTATTAATCATGCAGCAAAAATTTAAGAAACTATTTCTTGGACTATTTCAAGGATATTTTGTCCTTTGATGATTTTTAATACGTCGCTTTGTTTCGAAGATACAGAGCAAAAACATTTTTTCGACAACAACACTTTATTACCAAAAATTACATGTAATGTTTCTTAATCTACAAGAACTGTAGAATATGACTACCCCCGCTCGGATGCAACAAACCAATCTTCTCCCTGCCCGGAGTCTTTCAAAAACACCAGGATCGTTTCTGATTGCGTTACCCCCAGCAAATTGAATTTCTGCAGCCGTTTGTAGTAATCGGAATGTTGTTGATAGGTACCAAAGGAATTGTTAGATTTTTTATTACTTTATAGATCCAGTGTGGTACGCTATACTTTCATTTCGGCTACTTTAATAATTTTTAAATTACCAAAATTGTTTTTGTCGATTTTTTTTTTTCGTCCCATACCTTCGAAACAAAGCACCCTATCAAAAATCATCATAGGACAAAGTATTCTTAGAATAGTCTGTATAAACCAGATTTTTTTCAGAATATTCCCACTTCTGTTGATATTTGAAATTTTAATGTGATTATTGCATTTAAATACATTTACAGACATTGAATTTTAGTAGTGAATTTCCTTACACAAAGTTAAATTGTTTCTGTATATTCTACTATTTCTGTCCTCATCAAAACAATGAGGCTCTGTCATGATTATAATGTTTGTATGTGTTATTTCACTTAATATTTTCATTTTGCTTGTGTGGATACTTTTGGGCCATAACACTCGCCCTC